TTTGTGCCACTTTGTGCCCAACAATTGCGGAAGCGTTTCACCACAGAACGCGTAGAAATTCGACATATTTGCCACCAGTGGGACCAAGGGTGTTACTTCTTGGCGGAACAGGCCAACCACGAGTACAATCGAGCGTGACTCTCGGCCACAAAGTCCAGAACATTATTTCAGCGTTGTCGAAACGTTTCAATTCTCTTCAACGAGACAGTGACCCATAACCAAGATGATTTGGTGTAGAGGGCCACCGCGTTGAGCGATTTGATTGTAAATTCAATATTATGTAGGAAACATATTTTTGCGGCGTTGCTTTCTTTTCAACGGTTGATGAAAGTGGTTCACCACACTCAACGCACGATTTTGAGAGGAATTAATCCAGGTAGAAACTTGAGTCTGTAGGCCAGAAAATCTCCAAACACCATTTCAACGTCGCTTAACTCGCTTCAACGCCTATCAACGAGACAGTGATTCTCGCTACCATCTGCGCAACTGGTTCCTTGGTAGAGACGTTGCCGAAAAATATAAAAGGGGCCGGATTCCCAGCCCAAAAAATCTCAGGACTTCGGTCCTCACACTATGATGCATCATAGTGTCTCTCTCTTGCCTGCGGGCTTGAGAGCTTCCGCGACCACGGCTGTCGCTGCCATGAGCCCAGCGATGTAAGACATGCGCTCCCTCGCAGCCAATGAGCCCTGTGTATGTAAAAATGTGCTCCCTCGCAGCCAATGAGCCCTCTGTGTGTAAAAATGCGCTCAGTCATGTAAGACTTGGCTCGCCAATGACTTGCTATGGTTCCCTAGCAATGTGCAGGCACCTCTCCGTGGTGCTGGGGACCAGTATTCAAGTATTCAAGAGTATTCGGAGAAGCAAAGACCTGTCCAACATCTTCCTCATCTGTTTTGTATTCCGAAGGATCATCATTGGATAGATAGAATGAGCCTTAGAGAGATCATCCCAAATGTAATGGCCAAAATTATAAATTACAACTGAAGTGTCCTTGTTACCAAAGGACGTATTCCCAATTGTTCTGCATTGATAGTTTGCGGTCCGATAGTCCCTTCGCCGTAATGGAATTGGCACTCTTATTCTGGCGTAGAGCAAACAGAGACGAGAGTGTTGTGCTGGGATGCTTGTTTTGATGGAATGTTTGTTGTGATGAGCCGTGAGTGTTGGTGAGTGTTGGTGAGTGTTGATGTGTGTTGATGTGTGTCGATGTGTGTTGATGTGTGTTGATGTGTGTTGATGTGTGTTGATGTGTGTTGATGTGTGTTGATGTGTGTTGATGTGTGTTGATGTGTGTTGATGTGTGTTGATGTGTGTTGATTTGTTTTGATGTGTGTTGATGTGAGTGTTGATATGGTGAGATGTGTGTTGTGAAACATCAATGTTGTGGTGAATGGCCGGGCGGTGAAGGGAGCGGTGGTCAACGTCACACAAGAGGCAACGCGGGTTCTGGCATCAATTGCATTGTTTCGATTCCGCAACGCACCTTTTGACCCCTGCCGGTCATTCGGTGAAGTTGGCGTGCAGTGTCCAACTAGATTGAGATGATCGCATTCAAACATGGTTCAACTGTGATCACGCAATACGCTCAAGATCAGACCTACGAGCTGTAGAGCCATGTGATGAGGTGTCGGTCGAAAATACAATCCTGAACTCAATTGAACATCATAATGTGATAGACTCTGTTCCTTGCGTAGTCAAACTCATCGCTTCAGGCGGCGATCACAAGTCGCTTGAACCTACTCTGCACAAGGATGCCTACATTCTAGAGCGATTCCGAGAGTGACAGTAGCTTTGCCTCGAGAACAACCGTGTCATTAAGAGCTTTGGCTCAGGGATATCTGATCCGCTCCCTCTACATACGAGAGGCGTCGCAACTTTGTAATCTCCCGTCGGTAACTACAGTTCATATTCCACCCAATCTCTCGTAGAAGTCCACTACAGCGATTAAAGCGACGGCTATTACTTTGTGTGGGGCGTATTCCCGAGTTCATGCGATAAATCAAGCTCCGCTGCTAATATAGCACGGTTGAAGACATCTCTCCACGATCGCCGCTCAGGACCGGGTGATATCCGCATAGGGGTGCTCTAATCCACGTGTGGTCGGTCCTAGCAGGAATCGGCTTAAAGTCCTTCCCAAAGCAAATATGACATGAGCGCTTATTAGGGGTAGAAAATTCAGTATAGATTGAACGGGGTAGTCCAAGAGGTCCTACAACCCGATGGCTCATGTGGTGCTATTACAAACATCAAACCCACCTTCACGGGTAGAATTGCTCGAGCAGTGATATGAGGGATATCGTCCGGGACGCGATGACATTGAAAAAGCGTTACCGATACTCAAAGGACAGTGGGCTCGGGGGGGTGGGCTCGAGGGTCGTAGAGAATTTGGCGATTTGCTGGCAAGACCTGCTTGCGCCGTCAATTGCGATATGTTAGAAGATGGGCGCAATGGACAAAACATACACGCGGTCAGATTGACTACAGTAACCTGCAGCTGTAGTGACATTCAGGGTAAATGTGTCGCACATGTCGTTTGGGCTTGGATGAAAACACGCGTGCTTGGTAACCAAGTCTACCAAACATGTGTCTAATAGGAGACATCGCAGCACTTCTGAACAGCCCTCATGATGCAGCTCCGTGCATGTCCGATTGGTTGTCCCGCTCGGTTGGATACTTCAAACAGCCCAGCAACGTGGATTGGGATCAGGAAGGACTGTATCAAACAGTGGTTCTTGGGTCATGGGTCCTCTCTTTGGTTTGGCTGTCCTTGGTCTTGTCCACTCGATCCGAAGCTGAAACGGTCATTGTTAGTTTATTCGGTTAGAAATGACGGGACTTCCGCCTCACCTTCTGCTTGCACGCAGAGTTGGACTAACAACCTGGTCATCTGCAAAGGTACGACTCGTCCGCTATGAAGCAAGACAGAAAAACCAGAGCCTCTCGGTGCCTTTCGGAGCCCCAGGCTCGCAATGACGCTAGACACCATCCAAGGACAAATAGGATCACCCATTAAACACCGGCAACCCAAGTCACGAGAAGGTTATCCTTTGAGGGTGTTCAATGCCTACAGACAGTGCTATGCATTCATTGAAATTTGGGTCTTGCATCAGTTAGGCACATCAACGCATCCTCTGAGGAACCAAATCGACTGGGAGAAAGGGTCGAGGTAGCGACTCATCGATGCCACCAGTAGTCATGTGGAAGCTATAGACAGCATGCGATTGCATTGGTGTAGGGGAGCTCGAGCAGACAAGACATTTGCTCGCTTCGCAAATTACTCGAGTGATGGGAACATGAAGGAACCTCCTGTTGGGGGATCCGAGTCAGCAAGGATTGATCCAGTTGGACGAGGTGGTGTGCTTTAGGTTGTTCATGAAATATCCCCCGAGTGTACACTTGAGACCGATGATCAATTAGGATCGTGATCATACCAGCTTACCAACTAGATCACTTCCAATTCTCTTCAGCAATGCAGTCACCATTCATGCCATGTTGCATCCAGGTTCGTCGCACTCTCCGGCTGTCGCTTCGAAGAAGCCGCGCTGGATGCACCGGGCAAGTTCCCCAGACGGCAAATGCCCGTGATGAACCCACAGATGACAAGAAACTGTACAGTCATATTTGTTGTGATATGAGGCTGGTGCAGGCCAGGAATCAAGCCGCACCATCGGAATTAATTTTCGCATTGTCTATACGAAGAACCAAGTTGATTTTCAATCAACTTGATCTTCTCATTGTATATGTAGCCCCAGTTATTCCCTCTGGTACAAAAATAATTAAAAAAAAATATTCCTTTGAACTACAACAATATTGGGAGACCGCTCCGTGTAGACGGCGAGAGGTTGAGACACTCCGCCGTTCAGGGTGTGAAGGCGGTGAGGACAAGGGCGGAAGACGCGATGAAGCGCGTCGTAGTGTCCCTCTTTAATGAGTTATGACCTCATTACTCCAACAGAACAAATTTCCAATAGCCTATGAGCGTATAAAATAGGGACACATAGATATAATTGGATGGGTACAGCCCCATTACCCCACGTTCAGCTTTGGTTTTCAGCTCAGCCGCACGCAATTTCGATCGGCAATGGTAAGGTAATAATATACATATCTATTAACTGTCAACCCTAACTTACCTATAACGAGCCTGCTTAACATAAGCGGGTCGGACCCACCGGGGACAGCCAACCACAGGCCTTCATTTACTCGCTAGACTGCGGTAACTTAAAGCGAGATTTGATTACTAAGTAGTGATTCCATAAGTTAAGTTAGTTATAAATATCCTAATAACGTTAGCAAGGGCATGATCACGTGGAACCAATATTATTGGCTCATTAGCTTGGCTATATCCTTTTAGGCAGTTCTCATAAAACGAGATCCCCGTTACTACGGGAAAAATTGCCTCTGTGGATTATCTCGGAATAGACAAGGTTGACAGTACTATAAAAGTATGGTTACCAGGTGCTATAGTATAACATAGGAAACCAGTGGAAATAGTCTGATTATCTTGGATTGGCATCTGGAATGTTGTAGAAAGCATTGGGAATCAAAGACTGTGTATATAAATGTCAAGGCGAAGCGCAAAGCGAGCTTAACTTGAACACGCAAGGCAAGCTTGAGTTAAAAGTTGGACTCGAACTCGCCTGCGACACTAGAGCTCACTACACGAGTGCAAGTTGATGGATATAAGACTTGAACTTGCTGGAATTCCACGTTTATTCATCAAGCCAAACTTGTGGTAATATAATTATAAGCTTATAGTAGATACTAACTTATTTACTAAAATTGCCCAAGTGTAGAATGAGTAAGGTATATTAATGTAGTAATATTTTATTAAGATAGGTACCAACTGATTGTAAAATACTCATTTATTTACCAAAGTTCAAGTTGGAAAATCAAAGTCAAACTCGACTCTGGCTCTGTGACAGACTACTCGTAGATGGCAGTTGCAATACATGACGGGAGGAGATGTAGAGATGAATATTGGCTCTTTCTCTCAAACCTTAGAGCCCAACGCAAGCAGGAATATAATTGTACTCCCCTTTGGTGATCTTGATCACTGTTTTAGTTCCGATCAACACATATGAGCAGCCATTTGTAGCGAGTTTGACAACTTTCGCAATAGCTTTTGTTTGTGGTTCTTTTTTTCCGTAATATTAGAGCAAATTATATCATGCCTGCAGAGCTGATACATACCATTGACAACCGTCTCAACTGATGCGCTGCAGACTTGTACCAATTTGAATGTCAACTGGGCCATGTCAAGATAGCTCCACAGATCATCTTTCTGTGGAAATAGCGATTTTGGCGTTTTGACCTCAATTGCTCGAATGATCACCTCTATCACATATATAACGAGTTGAAAGATTGCATCTGTCACGGCCTTGACAAACTTGACGGCATTCTGTGCTATTGAACTGATTATTTGTAGGGACAACCCCACAGTATCAGCCGCCAAGCTGACAATCCAGCTGATGACCCGCAGCGTTTGAGCCGGCAAGGGCTCCAATGGAACTTTGAAACAACTGACAACCAGGCCGATTGCAGAAACCCAGAAATCAAAAGATTTCCAGACATTGCCATCCGTGACACCTTCAGCCATGGCCAACTCAATTAACGGCTTATCGGGGGGGACAAGGGCAAATGATTCGTCCCCGTACCATTCTGCAAAAACAGCCGGTGGTTCAGTGAGTGACACAGGGCTTGAAATGGCCCCGGCGAAAATACCGAACGCCCCGGCCACGACGTTTACAATGTTTGCGAACTCGTTATAAGGCAGCAGATTAGGTTTGTCTGTCATCTCCCGCACTGGCATCTCTTGCATAGTGGTTGGATTCTTCAACCCGCCTAGAAGCTTCTTAAAGTCGCCGGGTTTGAACATTGGAGGGGATGTCCCGTTGTTCTTGATCAGCTTCCAAATAATTGTAGTGGGAATGGCCACCAAAAAGGAAATGGCGTCGAGGAAGGTGAGATCATGGCCTCCAGAGATAAACTGTTTATAAACAGCAGTGATCACCGGAATTGTAATAGGTTTGTTTATAACTTCCTTGAATTTGGTCGCAAGCTTGGCTCCTCCATCTAGGACGAAGCCCGCCAGCTTTTTGAGGGCTGCGATGATGCTGGTCAGGAGTTGGCTTGTGATTTGGGCCATTGCATCTTTTGTTTTGACACTGCGCTTTTGTTGCTGATATCCCTTGGCGAAAGTTGATCCTTTATCGCCCACAGTCTTCTCAAAGCTGGTTCGGATTGATAGAGCCTCTGTCTCCCACTGCTCTGCTGTTAATCCTACACTGAATCCGCCTTCCTCGCTCAGGTTATGGATAACTGAGGCGCTCCCGGCGCCTCCATGGGCAAACTAGCAGGTTGTCATTCTTCTTTTGCTGCCATCTGCAAGGTAACGGTGGTCATACCTGATACATAACCCAATTTGCCTTTACCGATCGCACGGGCGCACCTTTGGACGACTCTTTCGCGGCAGTAGAATCATTCGCCGTTGCGTTGTCATTGTTCAGTTGGCTCTCATTAGGGCGATGCTTATTCAGCTGGTTTTGCATATTTTGAAAAAAACCGTTTACTCCGTTCTTCATGTCAGCTATCTTCTCGACCCCCTTGTCAATTGTGTCATTGGCGATGTTGGTCACAGACTCCTTGGTGGTCTTTATATCCGACCAATTGAAGAGGAATCCCAACCACTGAAAGATCTTCTCGGCTGTTTGAGCAATCTGACTCAGGAGCCAGGAGATGGCTTTGGCTACTTGAGTGACCGTGTTCATGACCCATTTATATACCTTTTGCCCAATGGTGACCAGAAATTCTTTGCCCCTAATTACGAACGCTTCGACTTTCTTCACCTGCTTTTCCAGCCAGCGCCATGCCGACTATTGGCGATTGTCAGTGATCTTTAAAAGGGAAACCCCCCCCAATCTGAGTTCACTTACCCAGAACATGGTTTTGATGCTGCTTGGTGCTATCGTAGTAATCAACTCCGCATTGTACCCGTGAGCCACTGGAGTGTCATTGGGATCGGCCCGGGCCGAAGGATTGAGAATATTATTTCGGCGCGTGATTGCGGCCGCGAGTGCCTTTTGAGCTCCTTCAATCTCGGGGCCACTCAAGTTTGGCTTCACAAGCTTTGTTCCATCCGGAAGAGTGATATTTTTAAGCTGCTCTTTGGTCTTGATTTCACCCAACTTGTCATGCACCTTTTTCGAAGGATCAAATTTATGCTGCACCGGTGTAGACGCCTTGGACGTTTGGATGTTGGAGACAGAGAAGGTATGGGTTGCCACGTCCTCTGTGGGGATGGTAATGGTGAGAAGGCCCGCCTGGTCTGCTCTGACTTGGACCCCCGTCGTGGTGACCAAGATTGGACGACCGTTGACAATCACACTTACATCCCCCGAGGATCTGAGCATCATGGGAGCACCAAGTATGGGTAGGTTATTGGAATCAAGAGGAGCAACCTGACTCACATACGAGCGAACAGAGAAGATCTTTTCAAGTGCGGGTGTCATCAGCGGAACCACACTCCAGATGCCAGATACGGGGTCTTGTTCCAGCATATACAGTTTCCCATTCTGGTCGGCAACCACGAATTTCTCCGTGTCGGACAATGTGCCTTTGAAGGGAGCAAAGTAGCCCCCCTGGCCATCCGGGACAACCTGCTCATGTTTTTTAGATCCGGTGAAATCTCTTTTTGTTTGCAGATAGCCAACGCCGTCCGCTGTATTGGTGGCCCAGACGGAGATATCAGCTCCATGCTGCGTGACTGCAAGGTATTTGATCGAGGCAAGAACCCCCTCTTTCGAGATTGATATGGGGTCTGTCTCGTTGGTCGTGTTGACCAGGTCCGCGCCAAACTTATAAAGGCCGGCAGCCCCAATAAGCATGTCGGTATAGCCCTGTGAATCAACAACAGCGGACAATGCTTGCGCACCTGTGATTTGGTCAGTACACGGGCATCAAATCACCTGGAAGTAGGCTGGATGGATGAGACGCACCCGCAGGACACTTGAAAGACTGGGTATATTCCTGTTGCGCATTGAGGGTACGGAAGTTCAAGGCTGTCTGGTCTGGATTCAACTCCCGTCAGCAAGAGTAACTACAGTAAACAGACCATGTATCATACTTTGAGTGGTATACAAGGTGGCGAACCCCGGAAGATCGATGTCGCCAAACTTGAGATTCAGCGGCTGAATGGCCAGGACCTTGATCGCATTTATCGGCAAAGTGGCATTGCTTATGCGTTGCCAGCTATACGTATTACTGTTCGTCTTGGCAACTTTGACTGACACGATATCCTGGGACTTGTGTATAGTTGTCTGATAGGCCAACAGCATGGGTGGGTATTCGCCACCTTTCGCCGTGGTGCTCTATATCGAACCGTCAGGAACAGTATATTGTCAAATATTTGGGAGAGCTAACCGTGTGAATGGAGTACACCCGTGTGTATACTGGTTGTGTTTCCGGTATAATCAGATCGTTTAGTTTTGTTTCCTTGGAGCCCAAGTCACGTTCTTTCGGCGTAAAGGGTTGAAGCAGGTAGACGGTGCTCTGGGTAGTCCCTTTGGCCGTGGCCAACGCGATGTACAGCGTGGTGGACTGAGGGTCTTGGGTCACGTCCAGAGCGTGGGCCACATAACTTGTTGGAAGATTCAGCATGGTGCCCAAGTCCTGCACCATTGTCTGTCCCGAGGCACCGATTTTGGACACATATGCCTTGTTATCCGTACCAAGGGAGAAGAGCATGAGCTTGGCCTTCTCATCCTGAAGCGCAATGAACCGCTTCGTATTAGGGAATGCCTGAGCAGCAACATACTGCGTCATCAGCTCCGAGTCGTGATTGATGCTTTGCATGGTCATCGAATAGTCAATGTAACAAATAGCGTCTGTCTCTGCGATATCTGCCTGTTGGCTGGTAAAAGCTGAGAATGCAGATCAGTTCTTGTAGTGGAGCTGGGAAAACGAAGAGGTTTTGAAATCAGCAAACCCTGACGGGAATACAAGCCGAGTAGCTTCCATTGCAGATCTTGCTGCTCCCTTGCCACTTCATCAGAGTGTATGACAGCCTCTCTTTTTTCGCCTCATATGCTGGCAATACCAATTGAGTCCCCATGTGGTCTCGAACTAGTTCTATGACGGTGAAGTGGGTCTACTACTTGTACTGGTAGGGATGCAGTGAGATGGATGACACTAATACTGGTCTCGAAGCTATCTGAAAGCAGCCAAAGACTGCATGGAAGGAAGGCTTTCACTCCCCATCAGGTCCCCAATTGGTTCTATGGCGGTTAAGTTGGTCTATTCTTTGTAATGGTGCGGATGAAATCAGGCGAATGACATCAATAACTGTCACGGAGCTATTTGCAAGCAGTAAAAGATGTCTCAATTTCAGCAGCAATGACACCAAGACTGGACTTGAAGCTATCTGAAAGCAGTCAACGATGTCTCAATTGGAGCGAGACGTCTCTGCAATGTGGGGAATCATACTTTGCTGGGGGGATAGCGTTTCCGACAGACGTCAGCCAGATGTCAGCCAGAGCATATTCTCTCATCTATGGTGTAACGACTCTAGCTCTGACCAGCTCTTGGTGTGCAGAGGGATCGTCATCTCACGGCATGTTTCACAACAATTCCGAGACCCACATTACTGACATTTAAGAATGAGCAATGGTGAGCGGGTACAACGAGAAATGGATCTGACAAAGTATTTTTCCACACGCCAAGTTTTCTAAGTAACACGAGTCTCGTTTGAACATAATGTCCGAAGTCTCAAGCCGCCAAAAGGCGACAGCTGGGCCTTTCTCGCAGGTACGTCCTTGGCTAATTGACCTTCTGTCCGAGGAACTAATGTGGTTTTCAGGTAATCGCAGTCTCGCAAGATGCCATCAACACCGCCCTCCTTTTCCTCTTTCAGAAGCATAAGGAGCTGCAGAAAATCGTGGTTAAAGATCCAAATAACGGGGAACTGGACGCGCAGATGAGCACAGCGAAGGTGATGTTTCCTGTGACAGGCCAGAATTACAGCACTGTAGTCTACCACTGTTTCTTCAAGTCGGGCACATTGAAGCTGAAAACTAACAACGGGTAAGACATGGCTCACTGCTTTGCTTTATACAGTCTTAACAGCCTTCTGCAGGTTCGGCCCCCCTATCAAAGTTGACGGATGGGTCTTTGCCTTTGAAGTAGACCTTGCCAAACTGGCTGTCACAGAGGGTACCGAGCTGAGTGAAATCAAGCAGAAGTTAAACCAACCGGGAGACTACTCCATTAGCCGATTATACATGGATTTCACGAGTAAGCCAGATTCCAACAAGAATAATGAACCGTGGCTGACTACTACAGCGAACAATATTCTATATTTCAGAGAGAAGCTAAGTAATTTCAAAGAGCATAAATGGGCCAACGGGGAAAGAACGAAGTTTCTGGTGCTCATGCTATCATGGGGAGAGTCATCCACGATGACAGACGCAAAAAAGACTACAGTGGGGTACGCTTTGGAGACCAAAAAACCCGAAACTGTCAATAAACCTGCGCCAACTTTCCCTCCAACAGCTCTGAGACACCAAATCTACAAATATATGGCTCCAGGTGCCTTAAAGCCCGAAGAGGGATTGGACAAAGGGAAGAATGCGCTTCTCTATGTGGAGATGACGCAGAATAGGCCGTGGCCACAGGACACACCGTTGTCGTATTCGGGCAATTTTATCATCAACAACATGAAAGCTACAGCGTGCATCTCCCCACAGGTATTTTTTGACTCGTATCTGTTGCGGAATGTACCCCCTAAAGCGCAAACCGATGTCCCCGGCCTGCTGCAACAATTCAACCGCTGGTTGTATTTTTTCTTGGGAAATTTTGACGTATACTGGAACTCAAATGACAACCAATGGCATTTGAGGTTTTCCTTCTTTATCGGGCCCACAGACTTCAAAAAAAACCAGTACCCCTTTGAGGAAGTCTTGAGGGATCCCAATTTCTTCGCATTCCACCGGAAATCAGACACACAATGGGAATTCCGTAAGGAACTCATTCCTCATGATACGAAAGGAAGTGGAGACCACTATGCAACCAGTGAAGGAAATGGTGAGTATCTCATTCTCTTGGTAGAAAATCTCAGACTCGCTGACCTACTTGACTTATAGCGACCACCGTCAACACAGTCACAATCCACCCTGGCAGCAACAAAATCACACTATCTGGGAAGTCCTATATGTATATGAAGTTTTATGGCAAGAACCGTAAGAGCTGGTTCCAGCATAAGTAAATCACCACTGTCCTTCATGGGTCCCATCACGACAGTACTGACCTTGGTGCAGAGGCGGGGTTGTGTTGACCTGGAACACAAGTGCGGAGCTCAAGTCAGTCCACCAAGGAGGGCTTGAGATCCAGCTCAATGTCCCCAGTGAGAGCTCGAAATGGGTGTCAACTAAATTTCTAGAAAATCCCGAGACATTTGACAGCTCGCTGATGGAGTCTGTCTCTGTCGGTATAGACTGGAAACCGATCAAGAAAATTAAAGAAGCCGTCGACGATGCCGTGAAGAATCTTAACTTTAAACCGCTCTCACATGACTTAAAGAGTGCGCTCGGGAGCACTTCGAGGTATGTTTTGTCAGGTGGGCGGAATTTCCTTTATAAGGACCCGATTTTTGGCAACAAGGGTGACATGCTGGTTGAGGCTCAGTATGATGGCGTGCAGTCTACGGATAGTGCGGCCGGGGGGTATTTTGATACCGAATGAATGCCGTATGCTCCAGGGAGGTTTCCCCGAAAAAAGCCACTAAAAATGTCCGTGTTTGCAAGTGTTAAAATGATAGTGACATAAATGACTACCCCTCTCTGAACTTCGTGGTAAATGCCAGTCAAAGGGGTGCTGGTGCCGAGGTTGCAATAAATTCTATTTCTTACCATAGACTACCCAAAGTCTACCTAAAAAAATCTGTCGCAATTATTTCTCAACTAAGATATACCCGCAAGGGAGCGGGCCGACCCTATGCATCGTTTGCAAAGCAAGCGCTCCGTCCCGCCTGGTCCGCAGAGCTTAGCATATTTGTGAAGAGTGCACTCCAAGCTTTCTATTGGTTGAGCCACGATAAGATGGTATGTTTGTAGGCCTTGGAGCGCAATATATCCATGAGTGAATACTTTTGGAAACATTCATCAAAGTTGTTGAAATACCCCTACCGTTAATACTCACCCCTTGTTCTCCCGCTCCTTCATTGTCTGACTGTTCGTCACCACTACTTTCTTGGGACGAATGTTCCTCAAAACGACAAAATCAAGCCCGTTCGCGTGGTCTACGTCCAGTCTACGAGATTAAACAGACCCGACCAGCAAATTATAGTGCAGAGAAAAATATTGTATTTTAGATACTATAGTCAGACCTTTTTAATTTTATGCATCGATATCCGGCCCCTCGGTTTCCCATTCCAGGAAATTTTCAGATTAGGAAAACTTTCAGGATGATCAGGCCCTAGGACGTCTTTCTGCTTGGCTAAGAAAAGGGCTTCCAGCGTAATTGGACTGATGCTTCATGGTTTACCATCTTTATTGGGGCGGTGTTTTGACGCTGCCAAATGTCAGTGTATTGGAAGAGTATTCTCATGATGCTATGGTTATTGCAGCCAGCAGCCTTTGCCATACGTGATACAGATAGTACTCCGCTGCGGATCATGTCAATGATAAGCTCGTGCTTTGAAGGGGCTAGGCTGGGCGCCATCTTGTGTGACCACTCGTGATTGATTGTTAAGATCTCTTCCAAAGTGGGGTATCGGGGTGTCAGTTGTACCAAATTACAAGTCAATACACCCTGCTACATATCCAGGCCAGACTGCATGCAGTGGATCTTGGTTGTACTCAGGGCAAGTTCCCACTCCGCTCAGTGAGCATAATCGTGTTTTCTCTTTCCTTTGTTGTCAGGGGATGCCTGGGTATTTGGTGCTGCATGTGACTTGCTAGCTTGTGGCTTCATGTGATCTCGGTAGCGCATCAGTAAGTTACGGTGCAGAGAGAGCCCTTTCCTATGCATCTGGTGTTTGGTCTGCTTCTATTTTGCAGATTGTGTTCTGTGGCGTAGCTGGAATGTCGCACAAAAATGTGGGTGTATGTCAGAAACAGTGGATATACCGTACTCTATCCCTTGCTTTGCTCAGCTGTAGTATTCGTTTGACCGGATTGATATCCTTGGCACGAATAGTAGTTCTCTGCTATTATCGAGATGATACTTCCTCAATAATAGTCTTCGATATTTTCCAACATTTATCTTTTAAAACCATTCCTTACCTCTGTGAAAGCCAAAAAAAACCTTCGGCAATACGAAATCCCCGCTATTCTCTGTGCGGTCGTGTTTGCCGCTTTTGCGAAAGGACCTACGCAAGCCAATAGTCAAGTGGAAAAAAGACAAGTACTTGACCCCTCCCGCTTGAGAGATGACTTACGACCTCAGGATAGGTCCCAACAGCCCATCTGATATATGCCTTGCCTGTAAGGACAGGACAGGGCTTTCAGGAATATTGGTATATGCCCCTGAATGTCCGAATCATATCCCTTCAGGGGACTCTCCGCATATTTCATTCTGAGCATGGAATTGCTCTCGATGCGCCCACACAGGGACCGCAGGAATGAATGGCCGAATGACATGAATTGAAGCTGATGCGCTGCTGCATTGCGGAGGCGTCTCAGCGGTTTCGAAGCCGTGCGCCATGAGGGCAGCTTGATAACGTTCACTGCAATTAGGCCACCAAAGGCCTCGGTGAGGCTCTAAGCTCGTTCCAAGAAGTAGCGCACTCTGCATGTACGTATACGGATATATATAATTCTGGTAGCCTGCATATAACTTTTTTAGTGGGATTCTAAACCACAACCCACTGGGTGCGGATTCGTATTTTGGTCCAGTGGTCAAATCAACATTTTTGCGAGGGGTCAGGATAAATGAAGTCATACATACATACATACTGTACCGACACCGCCTCCCTGTATATTATAAACAAAAACTACGGATCCAGCGACAATGTGGGCAGTGTAGCTAGTGGAGAAAGTGTCGATTGACTCGGCCATCACGCATTGCACCACGAGAGCTACCTGAAGTAGATGTCGCTAGCTCTTACAGACCACCAAACCTTCTCCTCGGAGACCGCTTCAACAACGTTCGAGGAGTGTTGTCGTCTTCTATTCTGCTTCGAATGGCCTTCTGGATGCAGTCGTTCCTTGTTAGATCCAGGGATTTGTCAAACTGAAGTATTTCAGTCTCGGAGTGACCACAAGTGCATCAACAATCGAGGAATGCCCGCCCTTGACCGCCAACATCAATGGATCCTCAGAACATTGATTCCTGAGGTTCACATCAATCCGATCATGGCTTAGTAGTGCCTGGACCATCTCTAAGTCACCACAACCGGCGGCAATGCAGAGAGCAGTGTCGTGAGTTGCGATCGTGCTTTCATTGATGTTCAGATGTGCGTCTTGTTGCACTAAAAGTCGTACCACATCGAGATGGCCATGTGCAACCGCTCGACAAATGGGCGGATCTATTAAATCCATTCCATTAATCTCCACGCCCTCCATACTCAGTAGACAAGTAACCGTGTTCACGCGTCCGTGATATGCGGCCACGGAGATTGGAGAGGGGCCTCCAACACAGATATTCAGACTGATCCCTGGCACCGCAAGCAGCCGTCGTAGGAGCACGGTATCCAACCTGGCCGCGGCGTGGTGGAGAGATGTAGACGGCGTCTCGAATCTCCCGCGGCCTCCAACAAAATTGACGTTGATGTCTTTCTCGGCCAACAGCCTTTCGGTTATCTCGTCGTATGACGAGTAAGTAGACAGCCAAAGTGGCGTATTGCCATCTTTGTCTTTGCAGTTCACGTTGGCACGGGGGTGACTTAGGAGCAAATTGACCATTTCCAAGCGTTTGTTTTGAACGGCGAGATGGAGCGCCGTAGATCCTTTTCGGTTCTGGATGTCCAAATCCAGATTTTTTTGCCTGAGAAGTCTTTTGACAGCCTCTACTGACCCATAGGCCACTGCTTGGTGAAGAGGTAGCTCAGCCTCTTGTGATGATTTGGTACCAAGAAACACCTTGGCCATCGGATCGTTTGAAAAAATCATTTCCATCACGGGTCTATTGAAGCGACACGCCCAGTCCCATGGCGAGTGGCCCGAATCGTCCTGTAGATCAGGGTCGCTGCCACTAGAAAGTAGCAGATGCACGAACCCTATTCTGCCTGCGAAGACCGCTAGGCGGAGCGCCGTTCGGCCGCGTTCGTGCCTGACGTCCACCTGGACGTTGGGTTGTTCTAGAACGCGCTTGACGGTGGAAAAAGTTCCGTAGTAGATGGCATACCACAGGGCGCTCTCCCGCGCTTGATTTTGAATGTTGATGTCTAGGTCTCGATGATTGAGCAAGAGTACGCGCACACCAGCGGAAGAGTATTTCAGCGCCCGCATTAAAGGAGTTTTGCCTCGGTAAAATGCATTGATGTTGGCGTTGTGCCGGAACAAAGCCTCCGCAAGACCAACGTTGTCGTATTTCACGGCCAAGTGCAACAGATTGCTGTTCTGAAATTTGATATTGTATTTCCAGATCCTGGGCTGCAGTTTAAAATCGAAGTCTTTGCATGATTTTGCGAGGGCAAATAATGCACTGCCGTCCAAATGCGACACAATCCACAGCAAAAGCTCGTTGGGCAGGTCTCTGATGTTTGGCTGTAAGTTATTAGCTCATCGGTAAACTCCGTAAGAACGAATTGAAACAGACCATAATTGGACAGCGAATGGAGCAAACGAAATGTAGATAGAGGTGAGGTGAGAGTTGTGAAAGTAGGATATGGGAGGCCTTTATATACTCACCTCAGCCAAGTTCCGTGGTCAGCTAGGAGTGTAGTCTTTCACTCCGCTGAGAGGTGCGTAGCAATCACACGGCATTATCAAAGCCTTGACAACAATGTTAAGACGGAGTTGGAGAATCTCTGGAGTCTAGCTCCTGGGAACGCCAAAACTGTTCCTGGTAGTGTGTTGATGGCATGGGAACCGAATCTATCTCTACGTACCCACATCTTGCATCTAGTGCCATAAGAATAAATCACAACCTATCACTCACTTTGAAATTCCATAGGCAATCCAGAATTTAACCCAGCATTTGTCGACTATGCTGCCTACCGCAGTAGCCAGTCTGTTCGCCAATGCATGGTCACCGCGGTCTACAGCCACAAGTGCAGCTGATTTGGGCAGCAGTGATCTGGAATGATATCCCTTCTCGCAGGCCACTGATTGGCCGTATAGTGGCGCATACTGCATGCGAATGCATTCCTCGACGTACCGGCTGTTTCAAGGAAGTGTTCCATGCCAGCAGCCACGCAGCCATGTGGGTAAGGAGCCCACGGTGATGGCATATAAAGCTGGCGAGGGAACGCTGCGGTAATTGCCCAACACCACCACAATCCGAAGCATTTTCTGCCTTTGACGACCACCTCAATAACTACCATGCTGCCTTGGAATCCGTTTCTTGTTTGTGAGATAGAGGTCAGCCCCAATAGCGGTTCTGGCTCCTGTTGCGGGATGACGAAAAAAAGCGAGCCATGCAAGAACTCGATCAAAGTTGAAGACACCAAGATCGGCCATCAAAAGTTGACCACTCTCGCCAGAGAGCCGTTTGACTTGTCAACGCTGCAGTCGAAGCTCTGTGATGTCGCCAGAGACTTCCTCTGCGCGAGATGGCACCGGCAGCGGCAGGCCGACCAAGTTGGCCAGCAGTGGTATGAAGCCGCCGTCCGCAACCAGGCGCGAGTACCACATGGCTCCAGAATGGCTTCTCCATCAGTCATTGTACAGCGGGGCCAGCGTCAGACGTCGTCAGCCTCCAGGCGCCGCCCTGCATCAGACAACACTGACCCGTCACCTCGCGGGCTCAGACAAGACCCGCCGGTGCGCCTGTCAACAAACCCCGAGCCAGTGCAGCCATTCAATCCATTTGTGACTTCCACACTGCTGCGGACGAACAGTGTTCCATGGCGCGTTTCGCCGGCCCAACCGGCTATTCTGGCGTCGGTCGCTAATATCTGGGCTGGTTTCCAAGAATTGACGCTCCAAAGTCTCACCCCGAGTGAAGAGGTCGACAGCATCCACTGTGTGTTCTGCCTGACCGAGGATGAAGACCATGCAAATGAGTGCGTGACCTTGCGCTGCCGTCAGTGCACATCCCTCTGTCATCTGTCCTGCGCGGAAGAATGGTTGCAAAAGCGAGATACAGGCTTTAGCACCTCATGCTGTGTGTGGTAAGTGTTGATGACCTTGTTTCTGCGACGACCAGGATACTGATGACTGCAGTCGAAACGACGGAGCCCTAGACGCCTTGATTCGCCCTTTACCAATCCCCTCGTCGGATGCCGAGACACATTCCGTCCACACGGCAAGCGAATCGTCTCCCGCTAGTGGGCCTCGTCGCTCAGCCAGACTAGCAGGGCCTCATCTACCGGGAGACCCGTCCACCTCTGCACCGCTTCGCCGGTCGGCACGACTCTCCACTCTGCGTGGGTGATCACAGGTCAGAGCCGAATATGACGGAAAACGCGAGAAGCGATTACACGCGAGTACACGTGACCAGACACTGGCCTCGCAATCAGCAATGGAGGTCATGGCCGTGATATAGATTTTCGGAGCAAGCTTAGAGAAATGAAATCCTGATCGTTCAATCCTAGAATACAACGCGACCGTTCCTCTTCGCAAGTGCTGGACACCGTTACACCTTAGCCAATAGCTATTGACTGCTTCCCTGATTCCGAAAACGTCTTAGCTCGAAACCGTATTGGTAGATAAAAGTTCCGTTTTCATCATACCTAACGGCGGTGACCAAGAAATACAGACATCGTTTCATCTCAGAGGAGGTTGCGTGAAGGCGGGGATTGTTGGCAGAAAAGCCACAGGCGAGAGACTGACAAACTCTTGTGCTTGTTAACTTACTCTGGGAATCAATATGTTGGCCCTGGGAACCTCAAAAGCATTTCTAGGGGCTGTTTATCCCCTAGGAAATCCTCTTTAGGTCCCGGGGCTATTTCTAATTCTAGGAAAGCGAGGTCTATCCCTGGGATCTTCACTTCACGTTCCTGACTGAATACGGAACTGGCTCTGGGAATACATTGACCAGATCTGGGAGCTGTGGAGCCCCTGGGGGCTTAGTTTAGGGTCCTATCTTGCCTTCCGAAATCGCCGAAAGCCCTCACAAAACACCTTCTCCGGACCTGCGCACAATTCTGCGTCATTCGGTCACTCCTAGAGGGCCAAATTATAGCCCCAGGAATCAAGCAAATCGTCAACAGGAACGCGGTTTTGATTCCCCGAGGTGACGGTACTAGACTCCAGAAGCTATCTCGGGTTTCCCGGGGACTACGTGGCTCCTAGAAGCAGCTTCTTTGCTCCCAGAAACGTTTCAGAGGTCCCTGGGAGCAAGAGAACTCCCAGGGCCAAGGCTTGTGCTCCTAGCACTGATAGAACCGTCAACAGGAGCGTGACCGGTTTCTTGATAGTGATGATGGAGATGTGCATGTTTGTCTCTGGATACTGCTATGGATATCTATCTGCTGTTTATACGGACAGAGATAGAAATGCGCATAAAACAAGTAAAAGTTCACATTTTCCTAGACTTCAGTCGTGAGAAATATCAAGGCGAAGTAAAAATGATGTCAGACCAAATCGGGCCTAGTAAGTATATATTCCCGCTTACTTTTGGAGGCAG